ACATGGGCGATGAGCCGCAAGCAACGGTTCTCGAAGACAGACAGTTGGAGCAGGTCCTCGGTACTAGCAGACCAAGTCTCGCAACCATTCAACAGTCCAACGCGGAAGGTCACAATATAATCACGCCCTTTGTTAGAGAGAATGATGTCATGGCGGCGCCATAAATGCTTTAGCCTGGAGAAGGCGACATGAGCTCTTGAGATGCGCACCGAAACCTCATCTCTAACGGCCCCACCAGCAGAGATGCAGCTTCTCAGGTAAGGAAAACGCTGTACAATTTCCAGCGTCTCATCATCGTTGGTGAGTGTAGGTAGGGGTGTATGCCAGTCTTGAGTAAGCGCTTTGTACTTTTATGGCAGAAAATGCAGGTCATACTTGGAAGTTTCAATCGCCAAACAGTTAACTTCAAGTTGGATAGCCTGCGGTCCGTCACCCCACAATACGATATCAACAGCCTAATCCAAATCAACAAACCGACTACCTGGGAGTAGCTCAACGTCTGCGTTCCACAATATTCTTGAGCATTTTTGAGGACATCCACAATGGCATAATTGAAAGGGGTGAATATATAGGGTATCCTAATCGAATTTCACCTGTGACAACAAAGGCAGGCGAAGGCTTGTCATAATCCGTAACTGTACTCGAGTTCGGGCTATCTAGACCACGCATTACGGAAACGAAATTCCCAGGAATGCCATTCCTAAACAGACAGTGCCACAATGTAGCACTCTCAACAGACTGGAAGGCAAAACGGGTATCCTGGAACACAACAACTGTATACATTGTATACACCAGGCAATCCTCAAGAACCTGGCAGTGTGAAAATTTAATCGATGCAGCCGCGAGCAAGGTGGAACCCAGATTGTTCTTCTCGCTGTAGTGCTTCAGGTGTTGGGGATAGCCTGTGAAGCTTAATGGACACCGGAATCTTGCAAACGACAGGAACCAAAGTTATGTCCCTGTATTTGGAGCAAATTGTGCACAGGCCATCTTTGAAGATAGGACGACTACTGCCTCACTCAAAGATGCTAGATCGTCATCTTTTGCGCAGTCTTCTGAGTACAAACCGACGAGTTCCCCGAACCAGCGAATATTCCTAAATTATACATAGAGCAGGATGTAGACCATCAGAGCTTATGCCTTATAACGTCATTGGTAGCAGATTTTCCGCCAGGTTTCCTGCTGAGAGGGTGTGTAAATAGGGATAGTCCACTCAACACCAATGCGCATCCCAGGTGAAGCGACCGGAAAATCTGCTAGCGAAAATGTTCTGACCCATCGCTCCCCCAACGTTGCTGATTAGTGATTAGGGAGCCATCGACTTAGAAGATTGTTTTGATTGATCCAGATCGGAAACTTTCGGTGGCTCGGATGAGGTGGAACAGTATGCTGTTATTACCAGAGATTAACAACTTCCTTCTCTCTAGCACGTTCACATATCCAGTTCTTCCGATCCTTCTCTAAGCTCCTACGCAACACCCGATCCAAGGATCGGTGTTCCTTACTATAGCTAGTGTCGGCCGGGATCAAGCGACGTCCGTCTATCAGCGACAATGAGGCAGTGGTGATCCAGCTTTTTGGAGTCTCACAAGCAACTCCACAACTGGCAGTACTGGCGGGAATTAAGGCGTCTTTGATGCGCATCCATTACGAATTCAGACCATCGTCAGGGGATGAAGCGAGCAATGTTGACAGAGAAGCCAGGTACCTGACTAACGTTGCAGGATGTTGCAGAGTTTCGAAGTTCGCTCGTAGTGCGTACCTTTGAGTTATGCTCCGAAAATCATGTAAAGCTTGGGGCAAACCAGTGCGTGATCAGAGTGCAGATGATTTGACTGTTACGATCAGCAGTAGCTTACGCTTCCGCGCTATATTAGCTTATTGTTATGTGGTGAAGCTGGGACCGCAGTCGCGCCTTAGATGGTCGAGACCATTTAGCACTTTGTCTTTTCGCAAGCCAAAACGGGTGCGCGAAAGAAACAAGCGATGAGCAGAACAAAGTGGCAGTAGCCTAATTACATTGTTTAAACGAATGCTACCGAGGCCAAAACTATCCCCAGGGTGATGCTTCTATGGCAGCATGTGAAAAACCCGTGCGTTAAAATCTCCGGCAATAATGGCAATATCAAACAGTTTGAAAAATATTGATGGTCATGTAACTGTTGGTAAAAGCAAACCTTGATTGTGTTCGGACTGTAGTCAGTTGGAGCGTAGGTGGGATGACAAACAAGGTACACGTAGCATCAAGACGCGCGCTTAACACACAACTAACACTTACATGAACGTCGTAGTCTGTCTGCACATAGCCGACTACTGACTGGTATCCAGTCAAGCAAAGCGGTCTCAGCCCTTTCACTCAGTGTAACTGCAGCACCGGCTTGGCCAGAAGCGGTGGTCTCTAGGTCTCCGGAAAGGCGCAAGTAGCGTTTGATGTCAGGATTTTCTGGAGCGTCCGTTGTGACGGCACTGGCTTCTTGCAATCTGGTTTCCAATAGTCAACTAATGTCCACGGAGTAACACAAGGGTGCGGACTAGGCACGCCTGTCGTCCGATCCGCCTCAGAGTGCGCACATTGAATGCTGCGTAGCCAAAGTGAGAGCCAGATCGAAGGAAACGTTGGGTTTTAGAGGAGTGTGAGAATGTTGTGACCACCGGGTAACGAACACCAGAGGTTTGGCTCAGAACCATATAATATGCGCCCGGTGATTTGTTGTCAATGGTGACCGGAGAAGACATATGTCTAGTTAAGCAACGGGATTTGGAACGATCAGTGAATGGACGTTGAACATCACATACAGTGTAGTCAGTAGACGTAGCAAGAGTGCATGCAGCAGTAAAATCCATCTTTTGTTCATAAGTGGGCTTGATACTACTCGATAGCAGGTGAACATTTATTTTAGTATTCTTGTTGTAAATGAACGTAAACGCTATTCAAATCTGTAACGAAAATTCACAAAATTTGTAATTGTGAAGAAAGTAGAACAGACCAATTTATGCAATGCCGACATTCCACAGCGTTGCGCTAATTTTTTCTTCATTAACTTATTTAACTAACAAAATTATTGTAAAAGCGACGGCGCTTTATGCACACCTGAGAGAGTTTGGTGTTCATCAGAAAGGCGATCTTCCACTGGGCATGTAAGCAATCCTCCATCGTACTTGTGTAGTTGATACGGCGCGGTTAAATAATGAACGCCATGGGGGTAATGCCAAACCTGTTGTTTATTAACATGTGCTAGCGGGAGTAATGTTGTTCAGCTTCATGCATGTGGCTTGTTTGTCAAACTACACGGCAAATGCTGCATGGATATGCATTGATGTCCCAAATGAAAGTATCCGTTGCTATACACGTGTCGCATAAATGTCACATTGAATACATATATTGCTATCACAGTGCCGATGCGAATAATTCCAGGCCATTTCTACAACATGGCTACATAGAAGTCAGTGGACATGGTGTTCACAGGCATACAGTTTTGAACATTCAACAGTTACCTATCACTAATAATAGATTTTCGGGTTTGTTGGAGAACCCGCCGTGTGTCTTGGATTGCGACACGCAATCTCATTAGTGGCGGCGGTTGACTTGGAAGTCAGCCTCTGCCAAAACGGTCACTGGGACCGTCACCGAAGTGGAGGGTGTCAGTGTGGCTCTCTCCTATCCCTCCACTCCACGACCGACGGTTTCGTCTTAATTTAGACTCATCAGGTAGAGATGGCTGAGCTAGGAGTGCAACCCGAGGGATATTGCTTGGCGGCTATCGCCGTGATCACTAGGACATTGAGTTCCGCGAGCAGCGTTTGACATAGCGGTTAGAAGTAGATATTCGGGTATTTTGGAGCACCCGCCTTGTGTCTTGGATTGCGACACGCAATCTGATTAGTGGCGGCGGTTGACTTGGAAGTCAGCCTCTGCCAAAACGGTCACTGTGACCGTCACCGAAGTGATGATGTGCATGTTGATCACGATCATGTTCATCCTAGTATTATTAGTTAAGAAATATCGGATGTGGGTGATGATGTGCTGATTGAGGATGATGATGATGATGACGTTGACGTTAACGATGATGATGAAGATGATGATTATGAGTATGATATTGGTGATGATGTTGAGGATGATGTTAATGATGAGGATGACGTTGTTGATGAAAACGATGATTATGGTGATGTTGATGATGACGAGGATTATGAGGATGATGGTCATAATGATGATGCCGATAATGATGAAGATATATGGAATGAGGAGGATTACGATGATGAGAAAAACATTTTATGATGTAGACGACGACGATGCTGATGAAGGTGACGATTTTAGTAATGGTGCTAATGTTGTTGAAGATGACGATGACTCTGTTATTTCAGATATTGAGAGGGACGAATATAATTATGATGTTTGCGACAGTATTGATTGTGATGCTTATGATGAGGTGGATGATGAGAAGAAGGATGAAGTTGGTGATGATGGCTATGGTGATTATCGAGATAATGATGGTGATATTGCTGGAAAGGATGATGTTGAACATCGTCACAATGATTATGAAACCGATGCTAATTAATATGGTGATGAGGAATTTGGAGATGATTAAGCTGATTGGGATGATGATGATGATGATGATATTGATGATGCATAGCGAGGAAGACTATGATGATGATGAGTAGGAGGAGGCTGATGAGGATGATGGTGATGATTGGGATGATGTGGATGTGGATGGTGATAATAATAATTATGATGTTGGTATTGGTGTTGATGCTGCTGCTGATGATTCTGTTGGCGTTAATAATGGGGCCGATGCTGAGTACGATGCGGAGGATACTGATGAGTAACAATATGATCAGCTTTGAATGATGATAAAATGATGAGGATGATGATGATGACGCAGGTAGTGAAAATGTGATGTGGCATAATGCGTGATTTTGCAGATTGTTATGTGTATGTTGATCACGATCATGATCATCCTAGTAATATTAAATAAGAAAAAGCTGATGTGGGTGATGGTGTGATGATTGAGGATGATGATGATGATGACGATAACGATAAAGATGATGATGAAGATGACGATGATGACGATGATGATGATTATGATTATGTTGATGCAGATGCAGATGCAGGTGATGATGATGATGATGATGATGATGAGGCTGATGATGATGATGATGATGATGATGATGATGCAAACGAGGATGATGATGTTGATGTTGATGGTGGCTATGAATGTGCTGATGATTACGAGGCTGATGATCAAAATGATACTGCCGATAATGATGATGATGAATGTAATAAGGACAATTTCGGTGATGAGAAATTTATGTTTGTGATGTTGAGGACGATGATGCTGATGAAGGTGACGATGTTAATGATGGGGATAATGTTGGTGAAGATGACGATGATGTTGTTATTTCAGATAATGCGAATGACGATTACTATAATGATGTTGACGACAATAATGATGGTGATGATTATGATGAGGTTGATGATGAGAAGAAGGATGAAGTTGGTGATGAGGGCGAGGATGATCATCAAGATAATGATGCCGATAATGCTGAAGAGGATGATGTTGAATATCGTCACCAAGATTATGCACCCGGTGATGATGAATATGTTGAGGATGATTGTGGAGATGATTAAGATGATGATGATGATGATGATGATGATGGTGATGATGCGAACTTGATGATGCATTTCGAGGGTGCTTATGATGATGATGAGGAGGAGGAGGCTGATGAGGATGACGGTGAAGATTGAGATGATTTTGATGAGGATGGTGATGATGATAATGATGGTGATGATGAATTTAATGAAGATGATGCCAACGATGATAAACGTTCTTTTTATGATGTTGCGGATGATGATGCTGATGATGGTGATGATGTAACTGATGTCGATAATGTTGCTGAAGATGACGATGATGCAGTTATTTTAGATAATTAAGATGACGATTAAAATTACAATGTTGACAACAAAAAATGATGGTGACGATTATGATGAGGTTGATGATGAAGAAAATGATGAAGTTGTTGATGAGAGTGATGATGGTTATCAAGATAATGATGTTGATAATGCTGAAGAGGATGACGTTTATGATCGTCACAATGATTATCAACCCGATAATAATGAATATGATGAGGATAATTGTGGAAATGTTTAAGATGATGAGGATGATATTTTTTGATGATGTTGATGATGTTGACGATGATGAACTTGCTGATGCATGTTGAGGATGAGTATGACGAGATAAGGAGAGAGAGGATGATGATGAGGATGGTGATGTTTGGGATGATATTGTTGAGGATGGTAAGGATGACAAGGATGGTGATGATGAATTTAATGAAGATGATGCCGATGATGATAAAGTTTATGTTTATGATGTTGAGGAAGATGATGCTGATGATGGAGATGATGTAACTGATGGCGATAATGTTGGGGAAGATGACGATGATGCTGTTATTTCAGATAATGAGGATGACGATTAAAATAACGATGTTAACGACAATGATGATGGTGATGCTTATGATAAGATTGATGATGAGGAGAATGCTGAGGTTGGTGATGAGAGCGATGATGATTACCAGGATACTGATGCTGATATTGCTGAAGAGGATGATGTGGTTAATCTTCACAATGATTATAAACACGATGGTAATGAAGTTGATGAGGGGGAATGTAGAGATTATTAAAATTATGAGGGTGATTACGATGATGACTTTGATGATATCGACGATGGTGAACTTGATGATGCATGGCGAGGATGATTATGATGATGATGAGGAGGAGGAGTTGGCTGATGAAAATGACGGTGATGATTGGGATGACGTTGTTGAGGATGGTGATATTAATATTTATGATATTTGTGTTGTTGATGATGCTGCTGCTGGTGATTCTTTTTGCGTTAATATTGGTGCCGATGATGAGTAGTTATGTCATCAAACGAGAAAGAATTAACTGGAGTGAATTACACACACCAGAGGACGAACCAGCTATAGTAATGAAAACAACGAGCTAAACTTTAGTTAGAAGTACACGAGCTATAAAACACCACCTTCGAGGAAACAATTTGTAGAAAAAACCCAGAAAATTACTGCTGGAACTGATTTTAATCCATCACTGGATTATTAATAATCAAGCATTATACAGAATTGTACAATTTCTGTTCACAAATATCATTATCTGACCCAAAAATAAACTGGCCTATGATCGGAGCGGTAAATTTCCCCGGGATGCTGTGGCCTTGACCTTGTTGATGATAATGCCAATGACAATGAAGTTAACGACAACGTTAATGTTGGTGATGACGATGATGATGATGATGATGATAATGAAGATTATCATGGTGATGAAGATTAGGAGGATGCGATAGAGTAGGAGCAGGAGAATAAAATCGATGACTATGATGATGTATATTTTAAAGTTGATAATGATAACGTTGATGACCATGAATTTGGTGAAGATTTTTAGGAGTTTGATGATCATGTGGATGATGACGATGATGTTTTTGTTGATCATGATGATGTTGATTATTATGCGGATTTCGATGACGAGGATGAGGATGATTACGATGTTGCTCATAGTAACGATGATGATAATGAGGATGCTGATGACGATGAGAATGACAACGACGATGTTGATTATAGTGATATGGTTGTCGATGATGTTGATGATGATGATGATGATGGCGATGATGATGGTGTTAGTGATGATATAGATGAACGGGTTGAGGATGCGCATGCTGCCGATGATAATGGTGAGGATTTAGGATGATGAATATTGAGAATGATGATGTTGTGAATAATTTTAATGATTATTATCATGTTATTAAAGACAATGATGAGGAAGTTGATGCGGATGACCATGAGGTGTTTGGTAATCATGATAATGGACATGATGATGCAGAATATGAAGTTGATGATGTCGAGGAGGATGATAATTTTTACCAACAATACTAAGCCTCAACTAAGTTCATATTGCGATAACGAACCTAGAAACTACGAACAAATAAACCTGGACTTAACGCACGGTCTGGGCAGAAGGTTAAAATAAATTTCTTGTAACCGTTTTTCTATATGACATGTAAAATCAGTACATGACTAAAGAATAGTTTTGCAATCGTACTGCAAGTGGTCAGAAACTGTAAAGCTCGAGACGTAGCGAGTATTTTGGCAGTGCCACAGTAACATAATAATATGAATCACTTGAAACGTCAAGGATGTTTCACGGAACGAGTGAACGTAATAAATATGCGATATGTTAACCGCCTGTAGGACAGAGGATAGCAGTGAAAATGAGCAAGCTAATTAAGAAAAACAAGTACCGTGTTCTCCTGTAAGCAATCCAGGTTCGGGATACATAAGATTCCTTTTGGACTTTACACTCTCCCTGCGGTTTCTTATTCCGGACGATGGCTTCAACATAATCAGTTTCTTCTTCCTGGTACGCTACTGTTAGGCATAGCTGTCTGAAGTCTCTTCTGAATATGCCCTTGCTTCTCCTTAACAGTGCCTGTCGATCTAATTGGTATTTCCTCTTGATAACTTCCTCCACGAGACCCTTAGCCCACAGACCTCTTGATGTGCGTGAAACACAAACGATAACTAAAGCCCCCTGCTAAGATCTCGGATTTCAATTAACCACTTTGTCTATTCTGCAGTGTCGAAAGATCTACTTTAATCCATCTACGGCAAAACATATCGGACAGATATCTTACCTGTCTCCACCTTCTGCTCATTTTTATTGGTAAATTGATCGGTGGGTATTCAAGCGTTAGTAGTTGTCCAGGCGATTTAGAATCTAGTGAGTCCGGGGAGTCAGTTACCGCCACCAAAGGCCTGTCATTTAATATCCTTTCGATTTCCGTGAGTGTCGTTACAAGTACCTTTCCTGTCACAACCTTGCCGTTGTGAATGTTACGTATTGATTAACGAGTCATTCGAATTAATCGCCACCCAAGACCTCCGCAATGACTAGCACTTAGAGAATTAAACTTCCAATCAACCTCGCTAGCCAACATAGAGTTTGTGATCTTCGTCTGAACCAGCTGATTCAGAATATTGCGTTATTCTGCTTCTGCTCCGTGGAAATTCTGTCCATTGTCGTTGTATATTACATTAGGCCATCGGCGCCTAACTGAAAACCTCGAAAATGTACACAAGAATTAATCGGTATCCTCAGAATGGGAAATCTCTATGTGAACAGTGCGCGTAGTCAAGCAACTAAACAGCCATATCTCTTTTCATATACGCGACCACGTTTCACTATCAGCGGTCCAAACTAGTCGATCCCCACTGCAGTGAACGCTGGTTGGTAGGTCAGACGTTGGTCTGTTATAACTGGTGCCATCAGCTAACGCAGTGGCTTCGCATGGTTAACACGGCATTTGGCATATTTGAAAAGCACACACTTTATGGATGAAACAACACCCACGATCCAATAGTGTTGATGAAGGTCGTACAAAGTTTGCTAAGCACCGGAGTGTCCATTGAGGAAGTGCTAGTGAAGTATATAAAAGCTGGGTGACAAAGTGGCGGTCGGGAAGTAAAATCAGATGCATCAAGTCGTACTGCACCGAAACGTGATCCAGTCTTCCGCCCACCCGAAATATCCCATTAATGAGGAAGGGCTTGAGTCATCTTAATCTGAATGACCTTCGTGTTTAATTTCGAACTGCTAGTTCTGGTTTGTTGTACGCAAGTAGACGCATCCCCTCCGCAGAAACTTCTGACTGCATCAACTTAACTATCTAAATCGTAGCTTGTCGAATTTCAGCACTTTCTATCTAAGCTGGTTGGTCAGGGATAGTGCGCCTCAGGTATTTGGCGAGGAAAGAAGATTCGAATCGCAAGAAGGTAACGAAATATTTGCGCAGGGAGGTCCATGTCAGGCAACACTTAAAGTTATCAAACCAGTGCTCTTCCATAGTGATCAAGCAAATATGACCAACCTCGGGTCGTAACCATTCAAGCGATAATTCATCTAGATTCTCCGGATGCATAGGCCATGAGAAAGAGGGCTGAACGAGAAATTGTGGCCCGTGTAATCATTGGTTTATTTCCCACATGAGCGACATCGAAAGTTCACGTGAGGCTATATCAGCCGGGTTCTGCTGCGAATTTACGTAGCCCCACTGACTGGTGTAAGAATATTGTTGTATAATGGTAATCCGGTTAACAACGTACTTCTGGAAACGCCCATTAACACTTCGAGGAATCTTCAGAACTACCATCGAGTCTGTCCAGCACGTTGTGCTACAATGGAGTGCCATCTCATCTCAGACTTTTGATGACATGCGTAGGTTCAGTAAGGCAGCAGTGAGCTCCAATCTTGGTATCTACACCGTTGTAACGGACTGACACGTGATTTACTAATAAGCAGAAAACTACTAACGGTGCGTTCATCAATCTCGCAGCGCAAATATAGAGCAGCACCGTTACCAGCCTCAGACACATCTGGAAAACAATGAAACTGCAAAGAAGATATACTGCTGCCGAATGGATTAATACAACGTTCGACCTACAAACTGTTTAGACCATTAGCGTTTGATAACCATTTGCTTCAAGCTTGCTGATCCTCTGCGGGAAGATGCTCATCCCAATCCAGTTTTCCTTACCAAACCCTGTAACAGTACGTTTGCCGGA